TGTTGTTTGGCGGGTCCGGGCTGGGGATTCGAACCCGCCACCTTAGGTGTACGTGGCTGGCGCCTTAGCCAGTTGAGCTATAGGCGCCGAGCCAACAATCTCATTCTTAATCTCACAATTGTTTAATCTCATTCTTAATCTCACAATTTGGTTGTAACAATTAATCCATTCTTAATCTCACAATTGTTACAACTTGTTACAATTTGTAACAATTAATCTCATTCTTAATCTCTTGAATTGTTACAACTTGGTTGTAACAATCCATTCTTAATCTCACAATTCCACCATTCTCACTGCTAGACATTCAAACATATTTATTCTTCAATGCTTCTCATTACCTTCAAAACAGTCTCATGACATAGGAGCACTTCTCTCCCCACTTCCTTAAACGCTTTGGTTTAAGCCATAGAGAAACCAGGTCCTTCAAAGATATCAACCATTTTTCAGGAGCTTTTCAGGGCAGCAGACTCTGCTATATAATAAAGGTGCCATACTTATTCGAGAATTTGACCTGCACTCTCAGTGCATGAAGGATAAGTTTAAATATGAATGTGTCTGTCCATACCTATAACTATACATCTCTTATCTCCTTCTGTATTATATACAGTAAGAAAAGTAACATACAGTGGCCATTGAGGTTGTTAATTATTGACTTCCCCAGCTACCACATCTTGTTTTCAAAAGGATTTAAAATTGCATATGCAAGTGTATTGCATCATGAACAAGTCTTTGTGTTCACTATTTTTTATGAAAGTGGGCATTCTGATATGAAATAATGTATGTAGATTTCTTTGAGAAGTTTTGTTTAAGGATGTAATATATTTACTATGGCATGTTATTATATATACGTAGATGGATGTAATGAAATATTTTTTAAACTAAAACATGAATTTGAGTATGATATTAATACAGAAGTCAGGCATACTCATACTCACCCTTTTTATCCTTTCTGGTAGTGTAAATTCTTCTTTAATGCACTTACCGTGTTTTCTAATCTATTTCCATGCTATGTTATACACGTGTGTTTGTCACTTATTATTATGGTCATTTGAATGCAGGTTTATTCAGGTATAAAATATGTCCAGTTAACAAAGTGTAGATCTTTAAGTTTATCATGTTCTGCATTAAAACGGCAACATTTAGTTCTGTATTTCTCTATTTATTTAAAGAAGGTTTAAACGTTCTATTTATTTACAGAAAAACAGAAACGTCTATTTATTTATATCATTATATCCATAATGAAATAAATACTATAAATGCTAGATTTTGTTATTTTATACCACTCACATCAATCATGCAGATAACATCCTAATTTGTCTGTGTCAAGCTGACCCTCCTCCACACCCCACTTTCCTCTAACAGAATCAACCACAGATCCTACTATGAACTCCTGTGCTTGAACTATGTCAATTAGTCATATTTTTCCTTATGGTTGCCACCTCTTATACCTGAGAATACCCAGCACCTCTTCTCTCTAAATTAACTGTGTTCACAAAATCAACATCAATTGATTTTCCTTCTGGGTGATGCGGTTGGACCTTGTTGAGGGAGTGCTTTGACGCTTGCCATCAGACAGCTGTGCTCCCCTTTCATCGTCTGCCTTGATTTCAACAAGAAAAATCATTCCCATTCAGGATTATTGACTCTTACCCTGCTTGCCGGCTCCTTTTAAATCTTGAGCTTCTCTGAAAGCTTTTCCTTATTATGCCTCTCTTATAAAATAATCTCTTGAAAGTATTTCGGTGAAAAGTTTGAGGATACAAAAAGTAACAATGAAAGCACTGTTTTTATCTATGTGTATGTCTTTCTCCAATTGCAAAATTTGACTCACGTTGTATGCCCTTCCTCTCAGTTTATATTCCAAGCCTTCTTATCTTAATCATACTAATTTTAATCTTTATTTATTTTGCCTTTTTCTTAGTCCCTTTTCATTCATTTCCTTCTCCCTCAAGTTTACGGAAGCCCTGACCAAATGCTTCACTCAAATATTTATTCACATGCATTGATTCCTTGTCAAATGTTGGCTCTGGAACAGGCTCTGCTATTGATTCCATGGCTTGCTCTTTGCAGACTTTTTCTGCACCGGTTCGTACTCTTTTGTTTCAACAATTAGTTGAAAGATACCCTAGCTGGGTTCCTCTGTGGCACCAGCAACACTAAATGTTAAGGATCTTTTTTTAACTTACTTTTAATTCCTCCGTGATTTTTTTAATATATTTTTTTAATGTCTGGTATCAGTTTTCACAAAAACTTCTTCCTTTCACTTGAAGAAGGTTATGCACCACTGACCATTGCCTTGTGAAATATGATGCCTTTGATGGAAGGATGTTGTATCCTCATCCAATAAATTACATGACATTGACATGCTCTGGCCCATGGCATCTAAGCAAGCATAAAACAAACCATGGCTGAAATCAGGCTTTAAGAAACATCACGTTTTCTTTTTCTTTTTTTTTTTTTTAAGAGACAGAATCTCACTATGTTGCCCTTGGTAGAGTGCCGGCATCATAGCTCACAGCAACCTCAAACTCTTGGGCTTAAGCAATTCTCTTGCCTCAGCCTCCCAAGTAGCTGGGACTACAGGCTCCCACCACAGTGCCTGGCTATTTTGGGGGGGGGTTGTAGTTGTCGTTGTTGTTTGGCAGGCCTGGGCTGGATTTGAACCCACCAGCTCCAGTGTATGTGGCTGGCTCCCTAGCTGCTGAGCTACAGATGCCATACCAATTTTGTCTTTTACTGACATGTTCTTTTCTTCTGCCATGAAGTTAACATGCCCCAGATAGCGATTTCTGTTTCATCCTGGGCCCTATAGTGAATATAAGAAGAACAGAGGCATAGTTGATCTTTAGGTGCAGACACATAAGATGAAATAAACTCTATCTGTTAAGCCCTGAGATTTTAAAGATGTTATCACAAAAATATACAAATACAATGAAAATTTTTTTCTCCTTAAAAAAATCAATTTAAACATTATCTGACCTAGTGCTACTTCTGAGGTTACCTACCTGAGTGTCCCTGAGACATCTTATACTCTCACTTTCACCCAGTCATTATAAAAAATATTTATCACCTCCTGAAGATATTTAAAATTTAACTGATCTTTTTTATTATCATTTCAAAAATAATTTATATTGCATTAATACGTTCATTCCACAGATACAAGCAAAGTGCTGGCTGTGTGTTTTATACTATGTTCTGCGCATGCTTAGACTAATAGCAGGCCTCGCACAACATCTTCTTCCTTATGATGTTTATAGTTTTATCTCAATAATTAAAATAGTTCACTTTCTAAAGTACTTTGTTGTTTATGAAGCAGCTGGATTCACAAGCATATAGTAAGTGCAGTTTTTATAGACATTCATAGACTATCTTATGATGAAAAGGAATACATGACACAGCTGAAGAGAGGAGAGTTCCTTTGTATTTGGGAACGAAAAGAGAGGAAATACGTTGCAGACAGAACCACATCTGTAAGACAAAAAGAGTGTGGAATGTAGGAAGTGTCTAGTTTTAGTATTTGGGGAAGGGAAGGATAAATGTAATGATGGTGTGATCCACTGGGCGATTAGGTGCAGTTGAAAAGCAGCTTGGGGCAGGTCGTGGATGTGTCTGTGCTCCATCAAAAACCTCATTTGCTATGAGCTTCATAAAGAAGCACGTCACCTGCAAAGGAAGGATATAGGTATGTAGATAGAGTGAGTTCAAGGGAGAGAGAACTTAGGCTTGGGCTAAGGAAGAGGGAAGCATATGATGAGGTCATATTTGAAACAAAGTCACATGGTAGACCTGTGTCACCAAGGCAAGAAGAATCAAGCATCATTTCAAGACTTCCAGTGGAGGTTTTAGGTCTTCCAGTGTAGCAAATAAAAGGAAAGCTGACTGTGTGGACAAAAAGCATCTCCTGAATTTGACAATTCTGAAGTCGCAGGAGACGTTAGTGTGAACACTGACACTTAGTAGGCTGGGTAAACTTCTGATTATAATAAATTAAAAAATAATGTACAC